ACTTGTACCTTCGTTTATAGTCATTTTTTTGCGTAAGAATATCTACCTTTTCGCTGTTTTTTGTTTAATAGGTTTATTTGTTGTCTTTTGGTAGGATTTATTTTCACTTATCCTAGTTTTGAGTTTGCTTTCGCTTATCACCATTGCAACTTATCTTGTACACGACATTTGATTTTTCTTCAAGTTGAGTCTTGGATTTTGTTCTCCTGAAGGAGACATTGTTGGTATTAGTGCTCTTTAGAGCTAATTGAAAGATTTGATTTTGAAACCCGCTCGGAGAACCCAGGAACATATGTGAATCTTTTGAGTGCTTTTTCCGCTCTCGGTTCGATGCTTTTTACTTTATTGGACTTTACATAATTTCAAAGTTCAGTGATAGTCTTATTTGGGAGAATCGTTCATCTTCAGGTGTCTTTTGAATTACTGAAATGGAAATTGCTGTCATTGATATTGAAGACTTTTCATACGAAATTCGCTTCGAGAAAATTTTGAATAAATGATACCAATCTAACATAATTGTGTTGTTTTTTCTAATGACATTCGAATCAAGGCACGGGAGATGATAATTCGATCCACTTTCCATTGTAAACCGCAATTGATTATAATAAGCGTTCAATGCCCCGAGTGTGTTGTCGATTTCATCCTTTTTCAACAGTTTTATTAAGCTCACCCCGTTTGTTTTATTCTTGGGTCCAATTTAGTATTTCACCCTCTTCCTCTCAACCGATTAATCAGAAATTTTGTATACACTTTGGATTTTGGTGACAACACAATTATGTTCATTTATTATCATTATAAATCCAAGATGGCGGCCGCTACAAAATGGCGGATAACGTAGGTTTTATCAATCCCATCAATATGGGTATAAATGAAAGGGCTCAACAAGCAGAATACAATATATGTACCATAAAAAATTGAAATCCAAGATGGCGGCCGTACAAAAAAGTAGGTTTTATCAATCCCATCAATATGGGTATCAAATGAAAGTGATCAACCAGTAGAACACAAATACAGCATAAACTGTACTATATAACTTCTATATTTAAGATGGGCGCATCCACTAAATGGCGTATAATAAGATTTTAATTTAGAAATTGCATATGTCTATGGTGTCTTATCAATTGGTATGCATGATGGACGCTCGATAAAGGAAATTAAGAACTGTGAAAATGAGTTTTTGGGAGGAGTAAACGTATTACTTTTCGGTGATCTTTTACAACTGCCTCCTATAAAACGATCAGGAACACCTGTTTTCAAACAGCCATAACATCTCCAACCAGCAACACATCTCTGGCGTTTATTCACGCTGTGTGAATTAACTGAAAATATGCATCAGCAAGGTGACCAGACTTTTATTGATATTTTGAATGCTTTGAGAGTCGGTGAGCTATGGACACTCTATTCTTAATTTGCAATACCAAATTAACAAAATCTGTTGAAAAATTACGTTAAAATTATCAAATTAACGAATATTGGGTGCTACCCCAACATAGTTCTGTGTATGTATGATACATATTATGAGCTGCAAGTACCTACTTTAAAACTATTCCATAAAAATGTAGCAAACATGTTCGAAATTCCGAATATGGGGAGGTTATATGGGGTTTATAATAAACGTGCACCACTATATTTAATATCCAAAATTCTTAAATGCATTTCAATTATTTTGTTTTAAATTTAGGGTGAATTCCACAGAACATTGCTAATTGACACATAATTTTAAGCTTTTTAAGATTATATGAACTATGTGGGATCTCAAATGGAGGAGGAGTTATAAGAATGACAAACTTAATATGTCCTACATACTATGCTGGAAGACATAAGAAATAAACTATTTTTCCTTAACAGAATTAATAAATAACAAGCTGTTGCAACTTGGTCAAGGTCAAAATTTCTATATCATTTGTAGTTTATTTATTTTTATTATTTATATTAAAGGGCTGAAAATGTGACATACTTCTCTATTTATGTCATTTAAGGAAAACGTTCGTCCTGTTATACCCAGTTTGATCAAACACACAACAATACGAGACATCCAACCACATGCTCGATGTCGCATGTCGGTCAGACTCAAACCCATCTTCATAACAAGCAATGAACAAAATGTGGATATTGAATACTGTGTCACGCATATATATTCTGCAAAAAATAACAATAATAATGAAACGAAAAGGACATAGGCATAATGCAGGCAAGATACAATCACTGTCTGTTTTTACGACATGAATGAAACATTAAAATACATATATGTTTTGTTTGTTTTAACAAAAAATATCCGCCGAAAAATACCGCTGAAATGAGACCTTTATATGGAAGCTATACAAAGACGTGGTAAATTTTTTGTCACAGGCTGTAGTAACGATTCCGATACAAAATTTGAAATTTGAATAATGTCGCTAAAATCATCAAAATACCGAATATAGAGAGGTACCATTATATAAGGGCTATACGAAGACGTGGACCTGTACAGACAATTTTTGTCATAGGCTGTAATATCCATTACGAACTTCAAATACCAATTTTAAAACAATTTCGCTGAATAATGTCGCTTAAATCGCCAAAATACCGAAAAGGTACCATTATATGGGGGCTATACCAAAACGTGGACCTACATGGCCCATTGTCAATACCAAAAAGTCCTGCAGATACAATATAAATTTGAGTAAAATTCGAGTAGTACAACTCACTACACATTGATTGAAAAGTCATTTGAAAATCAACCACTTGTGGTTTCTTAACTGGTTGATCTTCAGATGACTTTTCAACCAATTTGTAGTTAGTTGTAGAAAAATGCATTTATAACTAACGAGTTTCTCAACTGGTTGAGTAAAGTCTCTCAGGGAAGTTAGTTCATAAATGCATTATTCTTCAACTAACTACAAATTGGTTGAAAAGTCATCTGGAGATAAATCAATTGTATTTACTTAGCTTTTTGATATCCAGATGTCTCTTCAACCAATTTGTAGTTAATTGTAGAAAAATGTATTTATAACTAACGATTTTTCAACTGATTAAAAGAAGTCATACACTGGTGGCCAAACTAAAGCAACTAAAATCACAAAGACAATAAATGCCCTGTAACTTTTACAAAAATAAACACATCCTAATTATTTTTCCAGTTTTGAATGAGGCACTTTATTCACTTTTTAAAAAACTAAAAATAAAAATACAAAAGTAATTTTGAATGAAAAATAAAATATAGGAAACTAAATTGACCCAATTTTTGTTTGGTCAAAACTAAAGCAACTTTTTGATTTTTATTTTAAAATAATTAAATTTTGGCTAGTAGTAGATAGCATAACCATTATTTTTGATAGCAGCTGCACACCTACGAGGCATTGAATGCATAACACGATCAATTTGAACCTTGGGTATGCTTTCCCAAGCACCCTAAATTCTTTGGAAAATGTTGTGTTTATTTGTTTTCGAATCTCGCTTGATCTTTCTGTCTACCATACTCCAAAGGTTTTCTATGGGGTTTAGGTCAGATGATTGTGCCGGCCATGACAAAACACCGATTTCGACTTCCGCAACCATCTTTGAGAAGTGTTGATGCATGCTTCGGATCATTGTCATGCTGAAACAGCCAAATAAGCCGAATATTTTCCTCAGTAAAAGGGAACAACATGATGTCCAACACATGTTTGTAAACAAATCGATCCATAGACTCAAGTCCATAGAAAGAAAAACAGCGCCACACCATTTTTGACCCTCCCTCATGCTTCACTGTACCCTTGCAACACTGCGGCTTAAGTCTTTCGTTTTGTGGTATTCTCACCATAAATTTTTTCATGTCTGAGTCTTTAATATTAAACGTAGACTCATCCCAGAATAAAATGTTTTTCCATTGAGCTGGATTCCAATTAACATTATCGTTTCCGAAAGCCATTCTGGTTTTCGATTTTTTCAAATGGCTTTTTTGGGAAGTTCTTAAAAAACGCGTGCTGTTGTAAAAAACTTCTTAAAATTGATTTATGACAACCGAAATTGTTGAAGGAGGCAAAAAGCGATAAATATAACAGCAAAAACAACTGAAATTGTGGCAATCATATGAATGTACAACAGAGTTGCTTTTGTTTTGTCCAAGCCAAAATCGGGTCAATTGACTTTACCATACATTATTTTTTATATGAAAATGAATTTTGGTTTTTGTTTTAAGTTTTTAAAAAGTGAATAAAGTGTCTAATTTAAAACTAGAAAAACTTTCTCATTTCCTTAATTTTTAAAAAAGTTACAGGGCATTCATTCTCCTTGTAACTTCAGTTGCTTTAGTTTTGGCCACCAATGTACGTACTCAATTTAAGCACACGTGGTTCGCCGTCATCGACGACATACTGCATTTTTGGAAAACACCATGAACGATTTTGAGTCGATCATGTCACAATCGAACTTTAACCAATCACAAACATGAATCACATGATGTTGTTTTGTGTTGATGCTGATCAAATACATGATTGAGTGCACAAAGTCGGTGTGGAAAAAGATCGGCTGGGTCGAACTTAACGCTTTTTATACCCTCCACCATTCAATGGAGCCCCCATATAACGGTATCTCCTGATATTCGGTATTTTTATGATTTGTGCGAATTGTAACAAATTTCGTAAAGTTCATAATGAGTACTACAGCCTATGACAAAAAAAAACGTATGTAGGTTCACGTTTTCGTATATCTCCCATATAACGGTACATCCCGATATTCGGTATTTTTATGATTTTAGCGACATTATTCAACGAAAATGTTTCAAATTTGGCATTTAAAGCAGGTCCACGTCTTCGTATAGTCTCCATGTAACCGTTTTCATGTATGTGTTAGTTTCCGGAATTTTTTTTGAAAATTTTCAAGTTCCTTCCAAATGGTGGCTGCTTTTTTACTTGTTACTTCTTTGTAGCTTATTTTTATTAATTATTTATATATAGTATTTGAATAGGAATATTATTATTTATTTATTTTATTTATTTTTTTTTTTTTAATTCAGCATTTTAATGATACTCATTTTTTAGGTATTTCATGGAGGAGAGTGTTTTAAAAGCAATTGGGTTGGATGTCCATGACAGCGGTCAATTATCATCTTCAATGGTAGATGATGTTTTTTTCATATTACGAAAATCAATAAGACGATCACTTACAAGTATGTCTGTCAACGGCACCTGTGCCGTTATAAATAATGCAGCAGCATGTCTAGACCACGATTTTGTTAACGCATTAAAAAGCCACCTACAACAAGGTTATCCATCTGGATATATAGATTTGGCTCAGGCATATAGTGCTATACAAAATTCATTACAGCAAGGTAAAATACATTCCAGTGACAACGAAAAGGCACGTGTAAATTTTCTAGTATATTTGAATAATGCTGATATTTCAACGGAATACATTGATACATTGTGGAGAACTATGGAACAAGAAATTGCTGGAGCATACCCTTCGATGACAATGGTTGAAAAACAATTGATCGAGAGTTGTCTTTCCGAGTTGAAATCTGTTCGTGATACTTTGAAGGCATGTGTTGATTTTGGAATGCAACAACTGAAGTCTAGCGCAATTAACCCTCGACTACATCCATGGGTTGATCAATATCTTACCCATAAGCATCAACTGACGGAGGTAAGTAATTAAATTGATTAAATACAGATTAAAAAAATCAGTTAACAAATCCGACGCAAGATTGTTTTCTAATACACGAGTTTTTTTAAAAGCAATCACCCATATTCTACTTGTTTGATATAAACATAGGCTAATATAAACATTGTTGCTCACTTTGTGTATACGTGTGTTCGAAAATAAGCATGGCTCCATACCATAATGTTCTTGTTGAAATAAGCGAAGCACATTGTCTTATAAAAAGTTTTTAATTTTCAAACTCTTAAGTCTCGGAATATGTTAGCATTTTGAATGTTTATTCTACAAAGTCTTTAATTTTGCTATTTTTTAGAGGATTACAGAAAATATGATCTTTTGTTAGATGCACTCTAAGATATTATGCAGAACTTGTAATATTCAACTCAGGTAATGTGCTTTATATGTTGCGATGGACACATCTAAAGTCTTTATATTTGTGCGCCGTCTGATGCTAACAATACCAATCAATAAAAATTGTTGATTCGTTATATCTCTTATGGTCTGTCAAAAGCTTTCAATGATTTTTTGAGCCATTGGGCATCCATCCCATACGACAAATACACACTTTTGCAAAACTTTTACCATTGCAGATGTCTTGCTGGTGCGCTATTCCCATAACAATGTGGTGTCTATCCCAGATGAAGCGAGATCCAATACTATCTTATTCTGTGTACAAATGGCGGCCAAGAGGATTGAAATGTCTAATGCTTCCCTGTTCCGTCAGGTGCATCTACAAAATAAAAACCTCTGTCATTATTTGTCACTGCATGCATCAATGTATCTTAAATATGTCTTTGCTGTGCATTTAACTTTTGCATATTTGATTGAATAAATGCAAATGATTGAAAAACATTTCGATGACTCTCAACTAGTGTTCCTTGTTTACGCTTTTGGAAAACTTTTCGGACTTAACTAAATTACAAAATTAACCTTTAACTTCCCTTCACATTTTCTTGAAATTCTCTATTCTATTACAATGAATAAACATTTTGTTTACATAAAAAAAATGTTTTTTTTTTTACTTATTGTAATTTAAAATATACAAGCTTACTTTTAAAAAACAAATTATTATCAAATAAAATTTTTAACAAAGTTTTTTTCTGTAATACTTAGAAGTTAAAGGTTAAATGTTGATATATGAGCTTTAAATGTCTTCAATAGCAATGTGGATATGAAACGATCCATCGATTGTTAACTTAAATTTCCTGATTCAGAATTCGCTCAGTAGTCGATTTACAATAATCATCGGTTGGTCGTCGTCTATATAAGTATACCCATCATTGTCCCTAACATTTTAAACAATCAAATCTCTTAGATAGGTTAGGTTGAAAAAAACAATCGTCACATGTCCTGGTGGCCATACACTTACGTCAGCATAGGCCTGTTGTGCGCTGAACAGTCTATTATGTTTAATATTCAGTTACCTTAACAAAATTCCTCAACTGTTTAATTTAATTTACCATGATCTGATTAAGGTTTGGTATGGATAGGATTTTTGTGGTTTTCCCTACGCCGTCTTTGTTTCTTAGGTATACAGGATTGCCCATATTCGACGGACCCATCTGGCAACGCCATAACTTTTGACAGAGATGTCACATCGCTTAATGACATACCGCGTTTGAAGCGTCAGTCCAAGCAAATTTTTACCATGAACCAATACACGCCACGCGAGCTCTCTGAAATAGTTGAAATTTACAAGAAGTCAATTGTGAAAACTCAACGTGCTTTTAAAACATTAAAAAATGTGAGAAGTGCGCCTTCTAAGAACACCATTAAGCGTTTATACGAAAAATTTTCGACTGGTAAGGCTCTTTCTAATCCGAAGAGGCCATATAAAAGTCGACCAAGGCGATCGGTCGAGAATATCGCTGCCGTACGAGCCAGTGTTGACAGGTCCCCAAGAACATCCCAAAAACGCCGTTCTCAGCAGTTGGGCATGGCTCGGTCCACTTTACAACGGATTATTCACATTGACTTGCATTTGTTCCCGTACAAAATTCAATTGACGCAAAGAATGTTGCCTGCGGACAAGCCTCGTCGATTGGAATGGGCCCAAAGAGTCATGGGTCCGTCGAATATGGGCAACCCTGTATGTGTGCGTTTTTTGCCCATGTCTTTATCTCTAGACGTGACGCATTTAGCGGCACTGGATTGTCTAAGTTTACTGTTGCTAATTCCCTGCCTGTTTTGGCGAGAGAGTTCGTTATCTCCTCTAATTCCTGTTTTTGAACTTACTGTTTTGGATCTTATAGATTTTATAGCGGAAAGAAATTTTGCTATAACCCACAGCTATGGTAGTAATGGTATGGTAGGGTCCGTACAACCTCATGTTTACACTGAATTCCCTGTAACGTATGCATGTTGTTCATATTTAACCATATCATAGTAAGAACGATGTTGGACTTATCGGTCGATAAGACTTAGGTATTTCGTAGCTTGCCTTACCAGTTTTGGGTCTTGCAAGATTTTTGGAGTACACGCAAACTTTAGTCACGCGTTGAAAATTTCGACTAAGTTGGACGAAATATAGTCGACTTCTTTTTTGAGCAGAGCCGGGAAGACCGTACCTGGCCCCGCTGTCTTAAACGGTTTGAAGCCTTTGATAGCATCCTTTACCACCGATTCATCAATTTTTGGTGCTTCATCAGTATCATTCAACAACATCCGATTAATCTACTACGTGTGTGGTGAGGCTCATCGGGAAGCGTGTGTCCACCAAAGACCTTAGTGTTTTTCTATTGTTTACTTCTTATTACCCATATCATCCACCATAGTCTCGGCTTGTGTATGGGTTTTTGAAAGAAACTTTTTAATTTTTGATACATCATTTAACCTGTCAACCTGTTCGCAGAAAAGCTTCCAGGAGTTTCGTTTAGCAGTTCTTAATATTTCGTTGTATTCTTTAAGTTTATTACGTTAGCTATTCCAAAATACTGCTAGTTTTTTTTTACTACAAACTCTAATTTAAAGCCCTCGGATTTTTTTCCTTTGTTACGAATTTTCACTGTCATCTATGGTATTTTGTAGGCAGATTTCCTGTCTCGAATGGGACAGGATTCTTAGATTCAGTTCCGACGTAGGCGGTAGTGTCGGTGAGTCGATTGGTAGATATACTGACGCTAGTTATATGTTGCCATTCCCCTGCTTCAATACTGTTGCGTCCGATGTTGATAACTGTGGGGAGAAAAGAAAACATAAATTTTTGTGACATATTATACAAGTTATCGGTCGAGACCCTATATTGTTAGTAGTTGGTGGTTAAAATGGGCTCCTATTTCTTCTCCTTGCTGTCACTTTGGGCTTCCTCGTATAGGCCGATTCTCACATTATTTTTGAATCTGACCGCGTTCGAGACATAAAAAGCAATTCCCTTAGACTTTGTCAGACTGCCAATGGAAAGATGGTCAACTCCAATAACAATCCTCCTTCTTCTCTCTGTGGAAGACTTTCCATATCTTCACGTCCAAAGTCTTGTTTCGTCTTCCAAAGACTTCGAGCGTACGTCCCGTCTTGAACTTGCTGCCAAATCCTCTGACGTATAACGTCGGGGAGAAACTTCGCTCTTCCTCACCGCCCTCAGTCAAAGGATTCTTCTGACAGTTTCCATTGCGAGGTCCTTGACTGTGTTTCCCCAGAGCATCTATTGGTGGGAAGCTCGTTTTCTTTTTTGCTGGCTTTGCAGTGTTCTGTTCCTCTCCTGAACCACTTCCCCTGGAGCATCCTGAGGCTTTGCATTTTTGCTCGTCGGTTGCTTCCTGAGCTTTCGCCGTTGAGCCCCAGACAGCCTTTTCGTTTTTGTTGTGAGCTTCGTCAAGCTGTAGCTCACTTCTGCGTACGTTTCCCCGAAGTTCTTCGGACTCTTTGTCTATCTTTTTGCCCGAAGGTTGTGCGCTCAAATAATCAAATAAGCCAAAATGTTAATCACAACAATTGCTAATTTCACTGAAATTATAAATTACCTTAAATTTTGACATGGAATTGTCGTCTTTGTGATAATTTGAAAACGGAAATAATATGACTGCATATTTTCAAGAAAATGCTTTCATTCTAATGTTGCTCCGGATACAAACGTTCGTAACGGTTCTGGTGGTAATCGATTTTGACTACTTGCACAACATAAACTTGGGTTTTCCGCCTTGAAATTAAGTACATTGCAATGTTGGCAAACGTTATTTATCATTCTAATTAAAACAGCCGGAAGCAAATTTCAGTAGTCTTATCATAATTGAAGCAAAAGGATTCAGGATCCTACACACACGTTGGCGCAAATCCAAAAAAAAACAAATGACCGATTATGCCGTTCGTTGAGTACGTTGTCCATCGCTTTGAGATGATCTTGCAGCAAATGTCAAATGCGCATTAGTCGTGCGTCAACCAATGTTTTTATACCTTCAGCCATATGGCTACGATAACTCTCGAAGGGGGTATCAGATTTGATACAAAGTTGGTATATCGTAATATTATTGTCAAACTTAGATCGAGTTCGGAGATGGACAATATCAGTCCACAAAATGTCAAAATTTTCAAAGAAAATAATTCATTGCACAGAAAGGGAAAGTAATAATCCGATTTTGCACCAACTTTGCGAGTCCTAATATTTTCATCAGTGCTAGGTAAGGTGCGAAAATAGACAGTATCGGTCCACTCCATCAGGTACCTCCCCCACAAAGGGCCAAAAATTTGAATAATTATAAATCTTTTTAAATGTGATGTAAGAGCCTGATTATCTTCAAATGGCATACATCCCAATATTTTTATTAACCCAAGGTCTGGCGTTAAAATGAAATATATCGATCCACTCCTTCTGGTACCAACCAACCCCCCCCCCCCCACAAAAGGTCGAAATTTTGAATAACTTTAAGCTCATAAAACGCGAAATTAACATCCGATTCCATTCATGACTTTGTATATCTCAATATTTCTATCAACACAAGATCTGTTAAAAAGATGGTGGAGATCGGACCATTTCTGTTGCTACCTGCTGCCCCACATAGGGTTCAAGATTTTGAAAAACAAGACGCTCAACGAAAGCGAAATAAGCATTCGAAATAAGCCCTTCTGGTACCTCACTTACAAAGGGTCATAATTTTCAATACTTTTATCTGTCTTAACTTACGAAACAAGTCAGCGATTCTTTACAACTTGCTATATCTTCCTCGGTAAACTTCAAAATGAAAGATTTTGAATACATTTTGGAGTAAAGAGCTTAACACGAGCTTTTGGATCATATCTAAAGATTTAAGGTGAACCTAAATTTCACAAAAAATGATTTCAACAAAATCATTACATTTTATGAAATATGAGGTGAAAATAGTAAGTCTGTAATAAATATTAAATTATATAGAGATAGAGTGTGTTAAACAGGGCAACTTAATCAGACGCAATATATATCCCAATAAGGATCTTTTGAACAGAATAATATTAATTGTTTTCGTACTTATTCTATTACATTTGAATGAATAGTATATGCTGGGTTTCATATTACTGAAGCATATTATAAGTAAGAATGCACAAAGTGAATGTTAAGATGTTTAGTTACATACCTAAAAAATTCTTTGCTCCACCTTTTTATAAAGTCGAGGCTTTTTATAAGCTTTGCTAGTCGCTAAGTTTAAACTATCTAAAAGGATACCTGGATCATGAAAAGAGGCAACAAATTTCACCTGGCGTTAATTAAAATAGTAATGTGTATCAACTTTTCGCCATCAAAAAATGTTCATGCGTTTACATTTTAAAATATTTAATTCTAATTCATTGATAGAAAAACAAATTTTTTAAAAGTTAAATTAAAACCTTTTTTAACTTATCGATTTCAGCCTTAGTTTCTTTAAAAAGACTATGACAATCAACTTGAAGATCTCTACAATCAAAATAAGACCAACGTAGACCTTTTGTCTTGTCAGTAATAAAATCATACTGTCTACCATTAAAACCAGCACATTTAAGATGATATAAGATGCTCATTGACGTCTCTAACTGAACAGTCTTTGAAAGAGCAAGCCATTTTTGTAAAATAACATATTAGATGAAAATACCATTTAATAATTTTTTATATAAATAAGAAGGTAAACTGTGTAATGTGAACACGGTGTAATAATCAATATACTATTAGTACCTAAAATTATGCTAAAAATCAATTTTTACGTACAGAACTGCTAAAGGGTAATCAGCTACAAACGACAAAACAAACAAAAACACAACTTGAAGATCTCTACAATCAAAATAAGACCAACGTAGACCTTTTGTCTTGTCAGTAATAAAATCATACTGTCTACCATTAAAACCAGCACATTTAAGATGCATAAAATTATCGCAAATAAAACAAGATATAAGATGCTCATTGACGTCTCTAACTGAACAGTCTTTGAAAGAGCAAGCCATTTTTGTAAAATAACATGTTAGATGAAAATACCAGTTAATAATTTTTTATATAAATAAGAAGGTAAACTGTGTAATGTGAACACGGTGTAATAATCAATATACTATTAGTACCTAAAATTATGCTAAAAATCAATTTTTACGTACAGAACTGCTAAAGGGTAATCAGCTACAAACGACAAAACAAACAAAACCACGACGCGGAAAATATTTAATAAACTTATTAAGCAAGAAAAGTCACTTTATTCACAAAAACTTCACACTTTTGGAAAAAAAGATAAATAGTGTTAATTTAAATATCACAATTTAACACTTTTATTGACGCTTTAAACACACAAAAAATTGATTTTTATTTCGTTAGACGAACACAAAAGAATAAACACTCAATCGAGCAGAGTTGCAGAGTTTTGCAATTTTTACACAGAAATTGCAGAAATGTTTAAATGTAACTACAATAGCCGATTTCTTTCCGATATTGGAAAATTTAAAACTAATAGCTTCTCTAGATACAGTGCAATTAAAATTTAATACTTTTCATTAAACAAAAAAAAATTTAAATATATATATATTTTTTTTGATTCTACAATTTAGGTCATGTTCCGCGCAATACATCAACCTCTTCGTTTACCAGACAGTGTGTATTTTCCAATAGCAAAACTTTTGGTTGCACTTTCAAAATTTTCTTCCATTTCAAACATTATAAAAATCAAAATAAACTGCACCGACTTTAATGAAAAAAATCAACCCTTGTTGCTGAACAGTGCTTTAACCTGCCCACAAACAAAAATCATGTAAGGGGGGAGCATTACCATATTATCGATTCTGATTTAAACTATAGCTGATATGTGTTCTAGGGAACCAGTCCAATTATTCTTAGTTTTTATTAAACCTACAACAAATCTATGTGAATGGTAAAAAAGATGAAATAGTTTGTAAAATATATTGAAACCTATCATTTTATTTTTTTCTTAACTAATCTCGTTTGAAGATTTTTCTCGGCCCTGAATTAAACCATCCATAAACAAATCAACGAAAGAGATATTCTTAAGAGAATATAAAAATAACTTTCTTGTATTGAATTTTCAAACTAAAACCTAATAGAAACGAGCCAAAAATAATTAATGGAGACAATTATTGAAAATTATTCGAATATGTGTGTTTATTCATATTGTTATCATGATAGTCCAATTTCTCTCAGATCTTTTAAAAAATCAACAAATCGGCGTTTATATATTATTTATTGATTTTAAACACATTAACTTTAAAATTGATATATTTTATACTTGTCAACTAACGTGAGGCAAGAATTATTAATACTAAATATTTCTAATTTTCTTGGATGGTTATATATCTGAAGACGGCACACATTCTGCATCCATCAAAATTAAGTGAAAACATTTTTGTCATATTTAGAAATTGTGCTATAAATCTTTCTTGTGCTTTATTTTAAAATTTCCATAAAGTTATCTTAAAATATGAATTAAGATAACATTTAATACACTATTTAGTTAGATAAAACCAAGGCTAATTTAAAAAGGCCACACAGGAGGCGAATTCAGTCCTTAGACTACTCTTCTTGACAAAAGTTTAAGCACATCAAAAAAAGTATGCGAAAGAAAAACACAAACTCCAGATGATTTTAAAAATTTTATTCTATTTAAAAAATTGAAAACAAAAAATATTTATGTTTTCCTTTTGCATCAATTTTCTATCGATAACATAATCCCGCACTAAAATGAGTTTATCAAATTTAATCTTCAAACATTCTGAGCATATATTTCTTCTAAATAGAAATAAACGTTATATATTTTTAATAAAAAACAATTTGTAAAAAAAGCTAGCCTAACCGTATTTTGTAAATAAAGGGGGGTTTTTAAGAGCAATAGGAACGTTAAAAAACTAATCTTAAGCTAATAGTAGTTTTTAATTTAGTTTTGGAAGATTATTTCATACAAATGTTGACAGGACTGCGCCTCAAATTGTCCATATGCTTAATCTGGCATAATCTTTCCAACATTTTGACAGATAGTTCACAAAAAATGCTTCATTCTGGTCTTCCAATGAGTCAATATAGACATGCACCTGCACAAAATGGTCTAAAGCCCTTAAATCGCACGAATTAGGCAGTTAATTGACCCATCCTGAGCGTGATATAAAATGTTCAATACATACATTCGATTGAGATTAAAAAGAAAAAAAAACATTAAAAAGATTTATATTTCAATATACTACTTAATCATAAGATGTAAAATAATTGATAATAAAAATTAAAAAAATCACATTTAAAAAAATAATATCCCATTTTTCTATTGTAGGAGGAACTGGCAGCGTACGAGGCTGGTGAAACTTTTGTACAATTTCTAATTGTTCAAATTGATGGATTTCTTAACACATTTAAACCATGCTTAACGCTACGGAACTATGATGCCCTTATAAGTATTGTAGCATCCGAACTTACAACTAGGCTAGAAAAAGCGATCAAAAAATGCGTTTTTAACAGAGTATGTATATTTTCGTAAATATCCCAGCATTCTCGGAATATATTCACATCATAAAGATTTTGCCATCATAGTATTATTCTTACATGTAAAATATTGTGATATAAAGGGATCTCAAATGGATCCCAGCCATATAGACCGAATCGAAAACAATATATAAGAAGTAAAAAATTACGGTCAACTCGGTAGTATCGGGAGGAGTGGCTACTCGCATACCACATAGAACAAACAAATTTCCCAGCGGATGCAACGTTACTAGCGTGTTGCGCTCCGTCGTAATGAAAACATTTGTAAATAAAAGTATTTAGATTCAAACGTGTTCCACTTTAATCTGCAAATACTAGTGAGATCGGTTGAAGAATTCAGTTAAGGTTTTAAAATATAATACAATATATGGGGGCCATACCAAAACGGTAACAATTTTTTATACAGTGATCGTTGTCTATGGCCTGTCTTAAATACCTAACTAAAAAAACGTATGGCTATGAGCATAAAACTATAAAATTTGAAAGAAATTCAACAGAAAATTTGGACTAAATCGTAAAAAATACCGAATATATACAGGTATCGTGACATGATAGTTAAAGAAAAACGTGTAAATATATAGACAATGATATGCCACAGGAGGTAAAACTTAATGCCAACTGTAAATACCAAATTAAAAACAAAATGCGAGTGAAACGTGAAAAACACCGAATATCGGGAGGTACTGTTATATAGGTGCTAAAGGAAAACTTTGTCCTACATATACATTGTTCGGCCACTTGAGCAAGAATACATACAACTACAAATACTACATTTTAGACAAATTCGATAGAAAATGTGGATAAAGAGTCAAACCACCGACTATTCGAAGGTACCTTTATAACACGTGGATCTATACATAATATGCTCACCCACCGATTAAAAACTCTTAATACCTTTTCTGTCATGGGTTTTAGTACCCATTACCCATTAAGATCTTAAAATACGAAATTTGAGTTCATTTCGGTGAATAATGTCGCAAATATAATAAAAGTACCGAATAAATTGAAGTACGGTTACAAGGGTACTATACTAATACGTGGACCTGCATACAAAATTTTTTGTCGTAGACCAGGGGTAAATATAACTACATATTTGAAACAAATATTTCCGAAATTGTAAAAATTACACCTATTAAGATTTATTTTTTTGATTGAATTCTGTTTGACAGAATTTGTATAAGAATCCACATGTTAGTAGTAGGAATTCATTTCATATTGACCGACAAATTAATTGTCCTTCTAAATTAGTAGACATTTTTATATCCCCCGATTTCTATGAAATGACATTTACGTTCTTATTCAATAATAGCAAGACGTGATGTTTATAATTCTGTTTGTAATTCATAGAAATAATCTTTTAGGGGCCAAAAAGGATGTAAGTTTTTTAATATGCGTAAAATTCTACGACTATTTTTGTATGTTTGGTATGGGTATTACTATGGTATTAGGTATTACTTTTTAAAAGGTCAAATTAGATGGTAAGCATCTTATGTCCGAAATTATTAAATACAAATTTCATCAATGTTATATAAAATTTCTGAAAAGCCCAACTTATATATTTTTAAAGGACATTTATATCATCTTTTTTCTTTTAAAATGAATCATAATTGAAATAATTTTGCAAAAATAGCTCCGAATTGCCTCATCAAAAAATTTAGTAGAAACGTACCGTTTAAGTGAAAAACGTTATATGAGAGCTATACGAAGACGAGCACCTGCATACTCAATTTTTTGTCATAGGCACTCAACACTCGACTATACAAGTTCTCATTATATTTACGAAATATAATTTTACAGTGAGCCAATGATAATTTTTTGAGGACAAATGTCAAGGGACCAGGACAACTTTCCATATTTCGCTTTTAGGAGTTTGTTGTGTGTCGAATCAGCAAAAAGAATAAATGTAGGCTTAGTCCCATTTGGCATTTAAGTACGTACTATATAACAATGAAACTATATCCAAGATATCAGATACATTATTTTTTCGAAATCGATTCAGACATAGATAAAGCTCCCATACCTTCTTCCTAATTTTATAAAAATGATACATCAATCGTAATATGTTTGTCTATTTTTGTTTAAGTTTTGGACCATATTGTCAAGATCCGACTAAATTCTGTCAAACTTGGACCAGATCGATTCAGATATAGCTATTGCTCCATGAGATATGCTTCATCCCATTTTATATTAAATAATTCTCTAAGTAATAGCATGCCCTCTAAAGCAATAATACAGGGTGAGATAAAAAACTGCAACAAAGCCAAAAGCCATAATTGTTAGATTTTTTTTAATTTTCTTGAATGAAAGCAAAAAATGTCGGTAATAGCATCAAATTTTAGAATTTATATTAAAGAATTCCATTTTATATTAAAGCATTTTCTAATAGCATGCCCTCTAAAGCAATAATACAGGGTGAGATAAAAAACTACAACAAAGTCAAATGCCTTAACTTTTACATTTTTTAAAAAAAAAAATGTCTTGAATGAAAGCAAAAAATGTCGGTAATAGTATCAAGATTTGTTCACAATGAATAGATTTGTTTCGAATTGGCTACCTTTGACACGAATTATGGCCTTAAAACGACCAATGAATCGTCACACGATGCTCTGCGGTGTTTTGGCCCATTCCCGGCGAAGCGCTTGCTTGAGGTGATCGACACTGTGGTATTTGTTAGTGCCAACCTTGCTTTCCAAAATACTACAGACCATTGTGCCCTGGAAATGAAGCAAGGAACCTCATTGTGTAACTATTCTTTGGTGGCGCGTGCTGAGTGCGATGGGGCTCTGTCCTTTTAGAATGTTTACGAGCCCAAGGCTTTAATACACCCTCCATAATATTTTCGCGATAATGTTTGGCATTTATTCTGATGCCACGGTCGATTAATACGAGCAGAGAGCGACCATCGACTGTTATGGCGGCCCACACCATCACCATGGAAGGTGCACATTTTCAGCTGACCTATTTGGCAAGTAAACACGAACATTTTGTTTGTTGCTGCTGGACAACGAATGTTTTCTCATCGGAGAAAACCAAATTCCGCAATTCACCACTTTCGGTCAAGCGAAGCAACTATTTAGTTTTTTTGAGTCTATTTTCTTTCTGTTGCGGTGTAAGTTCCTGCACTTTTTGGAATTTCAATGACTTTACCCCGAGCTCATTTTTCAATATTTGCCGAATGCAGTATTGCGATATGTTCAGCTCACTAGCCATTTTTCGGCCACTGCGACGCGGGTTTTGATCAAGTCGCTTCTTTACTTTTGGAACCATTTCTGCTGATGTTGCTGTTTTCTTCCGTCCACTTCCTTGACGTCGGGCTACGTTACCAGCATCACGGTAACTAGCAATGGTACGAGACACAAAAGATTTATTCACATTGAAATGCTGGAGTGCTCCTACGATAGCCAATTGTGGGTTTCCAGCCAAATATAAAGAAATCACACTATCACGCTTGAATTCCATTACGAATAACAAATTTGACATTTACGCCGTTAGGTATGTGCTTTGCTAAAGTTTAAAAAGCATGAACCAACTAAATTAGTGATTTCACTTTTCAGCATCTCAGTGTCAAAAATGAATTTTGGAAAATATTTGAATTCTATTATCCCACTTATCAGCCGATATTATCAATTGAAAATATATACCCACCACCATTCTGTGGAGGGCATATTAACTTTGTCATTCCGCTTGTAACTCCTCGAAATATTTATAATAGACCCTATCAAGTATATATATTCTGGATCAGCGTAAAATTCTAAGACGATATAGCGATGTCCGTCTGTCTGCCTGTTGTAATCACGCTATCTTTTGAACGAATTGAGATAGAAGACTAAAATGGAAGGTTAAGTTCGTATGTCGGTCCACGTTTTCGTATAGCGTCCATATAACGGACCTCCCGATATTCGGTATTTTCATGATTTTAGCGACAGTATTTACCGGAATTATTTCAATTGTATATGCAAGTCCACGTTTTTGTAAGATTTCAGTGACATTATTTACCGGAATTATTTAAAATTTCGTATTTGAAGTTCATAATGTGTACTACAGCCTATGACAAACATTTTTGTATGTAGGTCCACTGCTTCGTATAGCCCCCATATAACGGTAGCTCCCGATATTCGGTATTTTGATGATTTCAGCAACATTATTCATCGGAATCGTTTCAAATTTCGCATTGGGAGATCTTAATGGTTACTAAAACCTATAGAAAAAAATCGTATGCAGGTCTACTTCTTCGTATAGCCCCCATATAACGGTACCTCCCGATATTCAGTATTTGATGATTTTAGCGACATTATTTACCGGAATTATTTAAAATTTCGTATTTGAAGTTCGTAATGGTTGCTACAGCCTATGACAAACATTTTTGTATGCAGGTCCTCGTCTTCCTATAGCGCCCATATGTTGGTACCTCCCAATTCTCAGTATTTTTAAACGGTTTCATTTGGCTCACCCCGTTTGTTTTATTCTTGGGTCAAATTTAGTAATTCAAATTTCACCCTCTTCCTATCAACCGATTAATCTGAAATTTTGTATACACTTTGCATTTTGGTGACAATACAATTATGTTTATTTATTATCATTATAAATCCAAGATGGCGGCCGCTGCAAAATGGCGGATAACGCAGGTTTTATCAATCCATGAATATGGGTATCAAATGAAAGGGCTCAACAAGCGGAATACAATATACTATAAAAAATTTAAATCCAAGATGGCAGCCACTACAAAATTGCGGATAACGTAGGTTTTATCAATCCCATTAACATGGGTATCAAATGAAAAGTCTTGACAAGTAGAATACAGTGCACCATACAACCTCAATATTTAAGATAGGGGCAGCCACTAAATGGCGCATAATAATAAGATTTAAATTTAGAAATTGCATCTGTAATTTAGGTATCTGATTAATCCAGCCTGAATCCACCACCCAAGTCAAGATTTTGTATCGTGATGAGGACTGTGTGGCGTTAGGGTGACTAAAAACGATACGTTGTTAGCGGTACAACATCCAAGTTAAGGTGAAAGGTTAAAACGCGCCGAGAACTGTATGACATCAGGGTGGATAGAAATAATATTTCGTTGGGGTTTCCCCCTCAAGACACAGGCGCATCTTTTTGTACATAGCCTTGTCCCTTTATTGGACCTCTGGGGTCGACCGTTTAAATGTCCATTACTCGTGGGAACAAAAAATAAAAAAGTAAAAAAGCGTAAGTTCGGCAGGGCCGAACTTTGAATACCCTCCACCATTTGGAACGAATTACAAAATGTTCAAAAAAATAAAATCCATTAAAAGTTATGTTAAAATCTTAAAAATACCTAATATAGGAAGGTGCCGATATATGGTGGGATATGCGATATTGTGGACCTATATAAACAAATCAATGTCTGGGGGTAAAGTACTCACAAAGAACTCCTCATGTAGAATTTCAGACAATTCCGTTGAAAAATGTGGCTAAAATCATCAAAATACCGAATTTCGGCAGGCCGTTATATGGGGGCTATACGAAATCGTGGACCTATATAGATAATTATCTTTCAATGGATGAAATACTCACAAGGAACTCCTTGTGTGCATTTTCAGACAATACCATTGGAAAATGTGGCTAAAATTATCAAAATACCGAATATCGGGGGGTACCGTTACATGGGGGCTATACGATATCGTGTGCCGATATAGCCCATCTTCGAACTTGACCTACCTGCAGACAAAAGAGAGATCTGTGCAAAATTTTAGCTTCCTATCTTAATTCGTTTAGACTGTAGCGTGATTACAACAGACGGACGGACAGGGCTAAATCGTTTTCGATGAGTTACAAACGGAATGACGAACTTAATATACCCTCCCTACTATGTATGGTGGAGGGTATAAAAATACAACTACAAACAAAGCGGCCGACATCTTGGATTTATAATGATAATGAATAAACATAATTTTATAGTCACCAATATGCAAAGTGTATACAAAACTTAAGATTAAACGGTTGACAGGAAGAGGGTGTAATTTGAATTAATAAATTTGACCAAAGAATAAAACAAACGGGGTGAACTAAATAAAACCGTTTAATTAGATATAAATGTTCGATTTGCTTGTAATTTTGCCCATACCAATATTTTATCTGTATTAGATGAAGTATACGACTATATCTGCTACCTCACGCACATTGTAAAATGTTTATATCATATTTATTTAGGTCCGATACGAAATGGACAATATTTACCCATTCCTTAGGAAAGTACTCCATAGAGGCTCAAAAATTTGAACAATCATAACAGAAGTCAATATATATTTAAATAATCGAACATTGGCTAAGGGTATATATCTGTCGGCAAAACCGACTGATATTTTTTGTTTGTTTTTTACTTAATATAAATAACACCATTGCATCTTGTTTATTTAAAGCTAGGTGGATTAGTGCTGGATCAGGAAGTTCGCGCTTTGGGTGCGTATCTTGCTAGTGCGACATCATGGTCTGTGCGCGATAAGATGACCCGTTTGACGCAAATAGCTACAATTTTAAATTTAGAAAAGGTTTCGGAGATCAATGAATACTGGAATCCGCAGCACTCTTCGGAGCTGACATCGTGGCGCTTATCTCAAAATGAAGTACGAACAATTCTTACACTGAGGTAATTAAGATGTGTTTATATTACAGGTGATGTTTTTAATAAGCGCTACTTTTAATATTATAGAATTGATTTTCGAATGGAGGACATAAAACGAATCCGGTTGCAATGATTTATAAACAGACATCTTCATATATATATACATTTTATTAATTTGAGTATTTATACATAATTATATACGCTTTAATAAACATTTTTTTTTTTTGGTAGGTAAGTATTCGGTTTGCAAAGGTGCGTAAACGTTTTCAGTTTTTACAGGTAAATATGTTCTATTCTATTCACAGGCGAATATTTACTTTTCTTCAATCATAAGATCATTTTTTACTTTTTATTAAAAATTTATTTTTTGTATGTTTTAACTTAGCATTTGAATGCATTTAGGTCGATTTTATCACTTGTATCACGGCGGGGTGTAACTGTGTGTTAAACAATCTAGTCGAAAGACTCGGAATAAGTATATTTTTATTTGCATCGGCACATGCAACAAGTTTATTCGTCTCTCGTTTCTTTTCATATAATTATCTATGATCCCTTTGCAAATAGTTCCGGTGTCCACATCTCTTTGTAGACGAAATTTGGCTCAATCTTTCGTTCACATATCAGTTAAATAGAAATGTAATCAAACGAATATATGGAACACATGGGGTAAAATCGTGGTAGTTTATTACTATTTGAAATAATGTGTATGTTATGCATACTACGCGTCGAAAGTAGAACCGTTCATTTTCTCGAGCACAAACGTAATATAATACTTTTCAACTTATGTTGTTAATTTTAAGTAATTTGAAACATACAGGTGTGTCACAAAATCGTATCGAAATGTTTTGAATTCTGATTTCGTACGATTTGGTGAACCACGAATTCAGTGTAAATGTGGCAACATTATATATTCAATATGGTAATATTAGGGGGATAAAAGAACGAATGATTGAATTAAGATAAAATACAAATACATAAGTTATATTAACTTTGTCATTCCGTTTGTAACATCCATAAATATTCGTCGTGACACCATAAAGTATATATATACAGGCTTGTAACAAAATGCATCGAAATGGTTTGAATTTCGCAATTCAAAATCGTACGTTTTTGTTCTAGCTTCTTCAGATTTCGTACGATTTGGTGAGCAGTGTAAATATGGCAACATTATATAATCAATATGGTAACATTAGGGGAGTGAAAGAACAAATGAATGAGGTATCAAAACAAAACACATGATTAGAAAACATTGTAGAAGTGTAACTTGCGAAAAATATTCTGTTAATGAGAGCTTTTTGTGCAAAAAGAAAGTTCATTTCATTATTTTTAATGCAATGCCGGGAGCTTCGATTTTTTCTGTAATTGAGGCGCAAAGTAATGAACACAATATTGAACAAGTAAAAAAGCAGCTAATTTCGGCCGGGCTGAACTTTTAATACCCTCCACCATTTCGAAGGAAATTTAAAAATTTCAAAAAAATCCGAAGACTACCACTTAAATGAAAACCGTTATATGGGGACTTTACGAAGGTGTGGACCTGCATACGGTTTTGAAATAATTCCGGTAAATAATTTCGCTAAAATCATGAAAATACCGAATATCGAGAGGTACCGTTATATGGGGACTATACAAAAACGTGGACCAACATGGTCCATTTACGAACTTAACCTGCCTACTGGTAAACTATGCATGTATGCATGTAATTTTAGCCTTCTATCTCAATTTTAGCCTGCGATTTACATTTTCTGAAGAAGCTAAATATGAAATTAAAACACTCTCTTACCGAATTTATTTTTGTGACATGCCTGATACTCATGATCAGCATAAAATTCTATGTCGATTTAACGATGTCCGTCTGTCTGTTGGCAGAACAATTTGTATTGTATCTAGAGTGGTTGGTATTGAAAATGAGATATATCGGTTCACGTTTTGATGTAGCCGCCATATAACGGTACCTCCCAATATTCGGTATTTTCAAGATTTTTGCCAAATTTTTCCACGGATTTGTCTAAAAGTTGGTATTTGTAGGTCATAATGAATTCTAGCTCCGGTGGCGAAACATAGTATATATAGGTCTACGTTTTTGTATAGCCCCCATATAACGGTACTTCCCGATATCCAGTATCTTGATGATTTCCGATATTCGGTATTTTGATAATTTTTCCATATTTTTTTATGGATTTGTGTAAAAATTGGTATTTGTTGATCATAATGGGTTTTAGCTCCGATGGGATACAATGTATGTATAGGTTCACGTTTTTGTATAATCCCCATATAACGGTACCTCCCGATATTCAGTATTTTGATGATTTTAGCGACAATATTAACCGGAATTGTTTCAAATTTGGAATTTGAAGTTCGAAATGGATACTACAGCTTATGACAGAAAATTGTCTGTGCAGGTCCACGTCTTCTTATATCCCCCCTATAACGGTACCTCCCAATATTCAGTATGTTGATGATTTTAGCGTCATTATTCTCCGGAGTAGTTTTAAATTACATATTTAGAGTTCGTAATGGGAACTACAGCCTGTGAAAGAAAATTGTATATGCAGGGCCAGGCTTTCGTATAGCTCCGATATAACGGTACCTGCCTATACGGTACTTTGATGATTTTAGCTACATTATTCACCGTTTAGGGCAAAAATTTAGCCTTCTATCTCAATTCGCTCTAAAGAGAGCGTGATTACAAGAGACAATCAGACAGACATCGCTAAATCGACTTAGAATTTTACGCTGATCAAGAATATATATACTTTGTTGGGTCTGATATGAGTATTTCGAGGAGTTACAAACGTAATTACAAAGTTAACGTACCCTACATAGTGTGGTGGAGGGTATAAACAAGATAAAAAGCAGTAAGTTCCGAGCCGAACTTTTAATACCCTCCACCATTTGGAACGAATTTGGTAATTTTCAAAATATAAAATTCGTTAAAAATACTGAATAATATAGCCCTTATACTGGGGTCTATTCAACATTTACTTACATACGCATTGTTTGTGATAAGCCATTGCCATATTCAAATTCGAAACTTGAAATAAATGTTGAATATCACAATCTTCTTCTTCTTCTTTCTTCTTCTTCTTCTATATCTATAAAAGAGGAAAATGTTTGTACGTTTGTTTGTTTGTTTGTTTGTTTGTTTGTTTGTTTGTTTGTAATTTATGGACTCGAAAACTGCTGAATAGATTTTTCTGAAAATTTCCATATATACTGCAACATCGCCTGAAAGTAACATAGGCTATATACATTTTTGAATTTCCACTTGGAACTGGAGATATAGCATCAGAATCGGAGGTACCTCCCAAAAATTTAGATTTTATATGCACATATCTATTGATCGGTTAAAGATACAGTATACAAATTTGGAATGTGTAACGGAATTTGGAACAAAAATAAGTTTGCTAAATTATATTGTAATCGGTTCAGATTTGGATATAGCTCCCATATATATTTTCGACCGATTTCGTTCATTTGATGCCTCAAACACAATATGAATGTTCGCTTCCAATGAAATTTGGAATATGTGACGGGATTTGATCCGAAAATAAATTTGTCAAATTATATTGAAATCGGTTCAGATTTGGATATAGCTCCCATATATATTTTCGGCCGATTTCATGTATTTGGTGGACCAAATAAGATATGTATGTCCAAATTTAATGAAATTTAAAATAAGTAACGGAATCGGGAGCAAAAATGAATTTTTCAAATTATATTGAAATCGGTTCAGATTTGGATATAGCTCCCATATATATTTTCGACCGATTTCATGTATTTGATGCACCAAACACGCTATGTATCTCTAATTTCAATGAAATTTGGAATCTGTAGGGGAAATTAAAACGAATATACATTTGTCAAATTATAGTAAAATCGGTCAGATTTGGATATAGCTCTCATATATATTTTCGACCGATTTCATGTATTTTATGCACCATGCACGATATGTATGTTCGATTCCAAAGAAATTTGGAATATGTAACGGGATTTTGATTAGAAAATAAATTAGTCAAATTATATTAAAATCGGTTCAGATTTGGATATAGCTCCCATATATATTTTCCGCCGATTTCACATATTTGATGCACAAAACACGATACGTATTTCCGATTCCAATGAAATTCGGCATGAGTGGCTAAATTTGGTACAAAAATAAATTTGGCAAATTATATTCAAATACGCTCAGATTTAATTTTAGCTCCCATATATATACTCAGCCGATTTCACATATTTGATGCACCCAAAGCGAGAAAGACGAAATCTGGCACCAAAAAAAATTGCCAAATTTTATTGAAATCAGTTGAGGTTTGGGTATAGCTAACATATGTGTGGTTACAATAATAAATGTGACAAATTAATTGGAAATTAGTTAAGATTTGGATATAGCTCCCATATATATATTCTCGGCCGATTTCACGTATTTGACGCACCAATTTCAATGAAATATGAAAGGTGTGGCGGAATTTGGTGTAAAAGTAATTTTTTTTAAAATTATATTTAAATCGGATCAGATTGGGATATGATTTTAATAAGAACCATTGACCCACAACGCCTTAGGCTAACACTAAAAAACAACACAACAATTAATTTGAAATACGCTTATTACGGCGAAGTATGTTGCTATCTCGAATTCATTAATTGCAACAGAAATGCCACTCAACTTCAAAAGATTGCAGTTTACTGCACGCTTGGTATTTGCTATGAAATAAATAAATCCGAAGGACAAACCCTTCGTGTATATATGTCATGTTACTGTTTTTCTAATGGTTTTGTATATTTACGCATTAAAGTAGTGCAATAATTTTTTTTTTAATTATAAAATTTGTTTTTTTTTAACCAACAAATATTCGTAAATAAAATTTTGAATGCATATAAAATCAAAAGGGGTAGCGAAGCGCACCGGGTTCAGCTAGTACCGTATAAAGGTAGGTACCATTATATCGGAGCTATACGAAGACATGGGCCTGCATAGACAATTTTCTGTCACAGGCTGTAGTATATATTACGAACTTCAAATACGACAACTCAAACTGTTTTGGTGGGTATTGTACCTAAAATCGTCAAAATACCGAATAGAGGGAGGAACTGATATATGGGGCCAATACGAAGACCTGGACCTGCATAGACAATACCCTGTTAACGACTGTAGTTCCCATTAATTAACGTAATTTGAAACTACTCCGGTTCAAAATAAGGAATATTGGGA